TAAGGTTCTCCTCATTTGGAATTTAATGTTCTGAAGAATGACAATGTTTAAGGATAGAAGGAGCTAAACAAGATAAAACAACTTGACAAAATTCACCTTCTGAAGATCAAAGCCGCTTTACTTTTGTGGTGCTTAATTTCAATGCACAACTGAAAGTCTAAGAGAAGTTGAGGAAAACATATAATATAGACTACTGAAGCAATAGTTTCTATTGATTTGATTTGTTTTTGACGTTATTGGTTTTATTGATTTGACTGTTGTTTGACTTTGACTTTTGGGACTGACTACTAAGTTGACTTGTTTGATTATGTTTCTTTTTTAACACAGGCTCTCTCCAATGATTTTTTTTAAAATAGAAAAGGCTATTGAGACTCAGAAGAGCTTGCAGGGAAGAGTGAGGAAGAGTTATATATATATGTTAACATCATATATTGATAATGACTTGTATCAGTAGTGACCCAAGTAAGGGTATTGCTAAATTAAGTATAGGGGAGTGGCCACGAAAAGAGAGCAAACAACAACTGTACCGCAGCCCGCAACAAACCCAAAACATACAAGGCAATGAATTGATCTGGTCTACATAATCATAGGATATCATAGGTATTCTAGTATAGACGTTCTTTTCCTTTTTGGCGTCAACGCGGGCGGGCGTTTTAACAGTGGAGCGTCACACCGTGGCGGTCACGCCGGTCACTTTGTTCGGATTCTACGTGGAAAACGGGTGCAGATGTGTGCAGTCATTGGATGTGATGTGCAAGGAAAAGGAAGAAGCTGAGGCGGCCCATGACAACTCAGTCCTGAGGTGTCATGAAACAGTGGAGGTGTCAGCAGTGTCCGGACTGGGATGTGTCACCGGACTCAGACGTTGGAGTGCTATGGTCCTCCAGCCCCCTCGGGGCACGCCATCCCATCCACGTTGACGGTAGGGGAGACTTCCGCTTGCTGATATCACATCATACGTCTCATATCATGTCTCGAGTCGATCTTCAAAAAGGGCTCGCCCAAAACAGCCCCCGCCGAGGCGCTGCAGAATGTCCGGAAGCATAGGACGAGATGTCATCCTGCATCGGACGATCGAAGGACGAACTCGCTGATCGACGTTGCTAGCCATGAAGGCCGACGTGAAGAAGGTCGACGTAGCTCGGCTCAAGAAGGCCGTGCTCTTTTTCTCTTCGTTCAATTTTGAAATGAGTTCTTTAGTATTTCCTCCATATTCCATATGACTTTCCCATGTGTTTTTTTTTCCCAGATCCAATTTATGTTGAATTTGTTCCATAATATGTGTGTCTTTTCCTATGTTCAGCCACCGGAACACAATAACACGAGAGGTGCACGACCGCACCATCCGACGCGGAGCGGTGAAACGACCGAGACGGATTGAAGCTACGAGGAGAGAAGCCACATGAAGAGATATGAGTGTGCAATGTCAATAGGGAGACCCCCGATCGCCCCAATGAGTAGACTGGTATTTCGCTGGTATTTATTATTCTTAAAATGTTCCCATTTATTCCAGGATGCTGAACTGGGAGGTCACCGTTCTTTGTTCCCAACTTGTCCAGTCAACTTGTCCAGCAAAAAAAACACAATAAACACCAAAACATGTCGTCTCAATGTAAAAAAAATCTCAAACACAACAAAAACTTTTTTTTAAAATGTAGTTTCTTAAGTTCAAGTCTTGGAGGGGTGCTTGGTTCAATAGTGCAACGAACTGATCGTCTAAAACTCTCTGGCTTTTGCTGAGGAGGCAAAGCCCAAAGACAAGCTGGCAAAAGAAGGCGACAGGGTTCTCAACCAACGATCGCTGCGGCGATGCGCAATGGGATGCAATGGGTTGAACACGCTCGTGCTGAACACTCGGGTGGTGAACATCACCCTTGAACGTGCCGCAGGCGAACAGGGACCCCGCCGATCAGTCCCGCCATGCCTCATTCTAGTGGATGACGGCTGATGACTCGCCAGGTGAGGCAAAAACCACAAAATCAAGACTGAAAACAACGGAAGTTTGGGGAATAAAAACAAGAAACACAAAAACAGCAACAAAACTCGAAGAAAGAACAAATAAAACAAAAACACCCCCACACATGCACACAAACGCGACTCTCTCCCGGCGCGCCGCGTTCGAAGCGCGTTTGACGCGTGTCCGGATGCCGTAGGACGGCAGGCCCCGAGGAGGGCGGGATGTACATGAACCTGGGATGCTTTAAGCCCAGGAGGACGGGTGGTTCTGTGATAAGATACCTTTTACCAGTATTGTACCATATCTGTTATGGCTGTTATGATGTTACATGATTTTACCAGCTATCGTCGGTGTGTGATTCCACACTTGCTGTTTGTTGATCGTTTTACTGGCAAGAACTGAAAGATCCAGAGGGAGAGAGAACAGGGTGTGAAGCTACTAGTAACAAGTGCCTTACTACTAGTAACAATAAGAATTAAACTAAAATTAATAGCTTCTTGTTACTACTAGTAAGGCACTTGTTACTAGTAGCGTGGCACTTGTTGCTAGTAGCTTCCTACCCCCTCCCCAGGTCGGTTGGTGGGTCATTTCGGTCCCCTGGCCGTCCCCGCAAGGGAATCGGACCCGAAACGCCCGTCACTGTGGTTCTTTTCTTCGGGTCCATCCCGGCTGGACTCATCAAAGTTGAGAGCACGTTCGCAAATTCTTCTTCGAATCTGGAGGAGTGCATGGGTTGCCTATGGTTGCCTCGTGCACCTTCCAGAAAAATGTAGGAGATGTCCTAACTCCACGCGATTTGGAACTCAGTGTGGTGTGGTGTAGCTTCTATACCCAGCAGTCCATCAGATCCGCCGAAAACAACGGACTGCGTGGTGCAGAGAGTGCAGACACGTGGTGCGGCAGACACGTACCCCGGCGTTGTCTGGTTTGGTTTTGCCAACACCGAGGCATGGTCTTCTAAGATGAGGCATGGCAGCTAATGGGTTGGAACCTAGTTGTCCTACCAACGATCTCGAAAGAGCTGGGGGGGGCCTGCAAACATGCCCGTAAGCGGATTGTTGTTTCGGCCAACGCACCAAGCACACCCCGGTCAAGCACCACTTCGCGATGCCGAGTCCTCTCACAATACTACAGTTGTAAGAGAGACGGGTTCTCCAGCAGTTCCAAGTTCCAAAGGAATGGTTGTAAACGTCCCATCCAGTGAGTAGATGTGAGAAGAGCACCCCACTCGGCACTCCACTCAGCACTTGTTTCCCATGGAACTGCTGGCCAAGAGCTTGTTTCCCTAACAATCCAAATATACCGTCTCAGAAGGTATTTGGACTGGCGCCGGCTAAAACCGTAGACTGAACGAAACCCTGGTTCCTTATTTGCCCGTGGTTTGGGCATGGGGTTTCCATGTTCTGGTTACAACAGCTCCAACCGAGCATCGTCATTCTTCACTCCCCACATCTCCCACCGACCCAGAACCGCCAGCCTGCTGAGGGACGAATCTGAAGCTCTGTTACACCAGCGCCAGACGGAGCTTCTCCGGCTTGGAGGGACTCAAATGGGGTATACGGTCCTTGAGGTTTTGCGGGGTATTCTACACTTCTTGAAACACCCAAAAATGGGAGGCATGAGAAGCCGAACCTTACATCCAAAGCATTGAAACATATTGAAAACCTACAGTTGCCTGCTATTGTTTGAGTGTAGGGTTCTTTTTGGGGGGGAAACGGTCGTTGGTGAACTTGTTCACTGCCAAACATACAGTTCATGGGCATAACGCTCAAAGAACTGTGCTGTTGGGTATTCCGAATGACTTGAACTACGTCCTTGACAAAGCGCGACTGCGATGGCAGGGCGTGTGGCGACTCTTTAGAAACATATTATAACTTTAAACAAACTAACCATCAACAAACATAGCAATATATACTAATTATTATATACTGGCGCACATTGACCCCCCAAATCACCAAAATGTAGACACATATTGCAGTCCCATGGAGTCCTGGGTGTTCCTTTTGGATTTACCTGCGGACGAAAAGGTACTTGGGGAAAAGAACCTGATCATTCCAGGAGTCCCAAAGCAGAATCAATGGCGAGAAGTTGGATTTTGGTCTATTTCGTGGCCCAAAACCCGTCGATCTCCGAGTTGCGTGGGAACAAGAAGGAGCCAATCTACCATTGTCGACCCTTGTCGCTTCACCCCAGAACACAATCCTAAGAGCCGGGAAAAAGTCCAGTCGTGACGACCTTCTCCCTGAAACCATGGGCGGCATCTGAAAAAAAACAAGAAACAGAACAGTGTCGTCTCCTGCGAAATATCAACCCCACCACGTTGAGGAACAGAACCACCATCCCCCGGCCCCCTTTTGGGTCCGTTCTCAAAAGGGCCAGGAGTCGACGTGGCATCGATGCCAGGTGTCCTCGTCTGTCCGCTCATCTGCCCTGTTGGGACTTCCAAGCACTGCACCTTTGTACATTTGCACCACATGTCCTAGGCATTTCCTCTCAAGTCAGCTAGCTATACATGGGAGCCGTAACTTAATCCCACCTTCAAAACGAGGGCACGACTGGAGCCCTAGAGCCCTAGGGTGGTGGTTGACCCGGTGCCCGCCATGGAAGCCACGCAACGCGCGACGCAACGCGTGACCCACGCTGATCCAAACCGATGATGCGCATCACCGACCAGCAGGAGTCGGCGGCTCCACCGGGAACGAGACACGAAGGTCCAGAGTGGCGGAGACACGAAGGTCTAGACTTGGTGACCACAAGACTCACCACCGTTGAAATGGGACTGGCATTGTTCCATCAGAACCAGGGGTGTTGTTGTAATTGTGCCAGTCCCATGAGGAGTGTCTATAATCACGCCCCTGTGCGGAAATGGTATACCATCGGACTGGCATCTGTATACCGACCGATCCATTCTTTCAGGACATCATGTTTTTTCAACTCCATGGCAACTCCACCTCTTTTGGAGATCCGTTTCCATTGTCCTTACCACTCTTTCAGGCTTCAGCGATATTTCTCTTACCAATATTGGATAGACAGCTCGCCCACCCCCTTCCACAGCACTCACAGCACTCACCGCGGCATGCGACAGCGACCTTTTGGCGCAGCGGAGCTACCAGGACTCCTCAGTGCCTCGAGACCCGAGGACTCCACAGCGTCGTGAGCGAACGGAAGTGGCTCAGCCAGAGGCAGTGGCTATCGGTGGTTCAGCCGATACAGTTCAAGCGACCCTGAAACACTGTATAGGGAAATGAGATGAAATCAAATGACATCAGATGAAATGAGGAACTCTTCATTCAGGTGAACAATTAAATGTTTTCTATTCCGACATAGTTCAAGAAGATGAAACCTGCTGTTTTCGTGGTATTTCCGACACAATAAGCTGAATCCTCCCTACAACATATGTAGCTGTGGGAGGAAGAAAAGCTGACACATCACCTAACTCCTCCAAACTCCGGCGCAGGTCGAAGTCCATGATGCGGGTCCCATCTCCGTAGCTCGACCTCTCTTTGTTAAATAGGCAAAATTATTGTTTCGATGGATGAACGTGGACTCAACTCACTCTTTCATCAGTTCTGGTCAATTCGAGAAAAGACGCGAAAAAAGAACCAACAAACATCGAAATTGAATGCAACAAAATCCGAACTCTGGATTCCTTCGGGTCCACCTGGTTATGGCATACAGGTTATGGGTCCTCCGTTTCACCCATGTTGAGTCATCGAACGATCAAGAGGTTCAGCCGCGGACGGACGGGATCCTCATGCCCGGGTCAAAAGGTTTTCTTAGGACTGATCAGTGATCCTAAAAGTGGCCTCCATGGGTTTTGATGGCTGGTTCAGATATGGCTTTGATGGTCCTCCGCTTTCTGTTGGAGAAGTGATCACAAGCTGACTTAGCAAGCGCATCTTTCGCAGGATCCGAATCCGTAAGGATTTCGCCGGAGTTTCACCCGGGGGCAGGAGACCTGATCAAACCCCCACGCAGCCACGTGCCTCGACTCCTGCCCCAGGTTTGCTTTGGATTCCAAGCTTCTTTCCTTAAAAGTGACTGATCACAGGCGAAGGGATCGGCATACATCATTTGTGATCCATGTGACTGTCATGACACTCGTGAGTCAGCGCGCAGTCATGGGTTTTGGTTGACCGTGAAGCTCCAAAACAGAACCCCGAGGTAGAGAAAGTTATGATCACAAACTGCAGGACACATTTCACTGTGCCACTCACTCCACTGACTTCATGGTACCACCACCACCACCACCAACAACAACAACAACAACATTCACATCAGTGAGTGACAAGTGGTCGAGGAGCAGCCCACTTGTGAAGCTGAAATCTCCGGTCAGGTAGGGCAAAGCTTGTCATGTAAATCCCTAACCCCACTTTACAAAAATATACATAACAGACATGACTTGTCGGTCCATCCAAACCAAGCCTCTGTAGTTCAATCAAATCGGCCTAAAATCTGATTGGTGTCGAAGCAAAACTGCTGATTGATGTGATTGGCAAAGCCCATAAAGGGCAAAGGCCGGAAATAACATATCAAAAAACATTCAAAAGCAGTGAACTGGACACAAAACCAGAAATGAACGGACGATGATTGACGAATTCTCCTCCCCCTGCTTTCCAAAGCCGGGCTTCTTTTGTTGAGGCCAGGATTCTTTGGTCGGAGGCCACGAGGAATCCCAATCACTCTCTTTCGCCTTTGGCTTCCACTCCTTTTCAGGGCCTCGCCAGTCATGTTCTCCTCCTTTCCATTCTTTTGGTTTCCATTCCTTTTGTGGCCCTTTCCACTCTCCCTCACCAGAAGCCGTCCACTCCTTTTGTCCTTTCCAATCTTTCTCTTGTCCTCTCCAGTCATGCTCCCCTTTCCATTCCTTCTCTTCTCTCCAGTCATGCTCCCCTTTCCATTCCTTCTGCCCTCTCCATTCCTTCTCTTGCCCCTTCCACTCTTTCTCTTGCCCCTTCCACTCTTTCTGTTGCCCCTTCCACTCCTTCTGTCCTTTCCACTCCTTCTGTCCTTTCCACTCATCCGGCTTCCAGGCATCTTGTCCCCAAGACTGCTCAGCAGGTTCCCAAATCTCCTCTCGCTGCTCATCGGCCTAGTTTGGGTGCGCATGGCGGAGAACACTAACCCACACGTAAGAGGACCCCCAAAAAAGGTGGTAGGCCGACATGTTGATTCCGACTGTCTGTTTTGTTCATTTGAAGGGTTCTGCACAAATTCCCAGTTCCGAGTTACATCCCTTTTCCTGCCTTCCCAAAAAGAGCAAGAAATAAACAACATGTGAGGATGAGGACTTCGTCACAGGCGAAGTATTAAAAAAAAACAACTCGAGTCTCCCCTTCTCCTCTGATCAAGCAGCGTCCCAACAAGTAACAAAAACAAAGGTCAAGTGCCAAAAGGCTAGCTAGCTGTTTCCGAACTCAACGAAGCTCAAATCAGAACCAAATCCATCCAAGTTCAGTGAGGAAGTTCTCCTCTCCTGGGTTCCATCGTCCTCCCCATCTGAATATGACTGCCCAGGGCCGACGGAAGACTCATCTTCCCGGCCTTCCAGGTGTTCCACTTCTTTTGCCAAGCACTCGTGGCTTTCCCGTCACCTGTGAAGAGGAACATTCAACAAGGAAACCCGGAAGGAGATCCGAAACTAACGCAATCCTTCGGATGTCTGAAAATGGAAATGGTGCCACACTCGAGTTCTTTCGAGCAGTTCTTGTTATTCTTGTTGCTGCTGTAGTTGTAGTTGTAGTTGTAGTTGTAGCCGTAGTTGTAGTTGTAGTGGTGGTGGTAGTAGTGGTAGGGTGGTGGTAGTGGTAGTGGTAGTGGTAGTGGTAGTGGTAGTGGTAGTGATAGTGGTAGTGGTAGTGGTAGTGGTAGTGGTAGTGGTAGTGGTAGGGGTAGGGGTAGGGGTAGGGGTAGGGGTAGGGGTAGGGGTAGGGGTAGGGGTAGGGGTAGGGGTAGTGGTAGTGGTAGTGGTAGTGGTAGTGGTGGTAGTAGTAGTAGTAGTAGTAGTCGTAGTGGTGGTGGTGGTAGTAGTAGTAGTAGGTAGTACTTGTCGTTGTTGTTGGTGGTGTAAAAACAAAGACACACACTGAAAAACACGTTGCTTGTTCAAAACCGCTGGGATGCAAAAATGTGGATCAAACATGATCAAACAAACGTCGCCTTTGCGGCCGCCCTTGGCTCCTTTGGTTCCGCCTTTGGCGCCAGCGCCTTTGGCGCCTTTCGCCGAAGTTGCCTGGTGTGGTGAACCGGGGGTTGTTTTTCGGACGCGCATGAGTGGAGAAGTGCTGATGCAAAGGAGATATATACAGAGTGTTGAACCATTGACTTCTTTGATGCTTTTTTGGCGGTAGGTTTCCAAGGCGCATTTCAAAAGAGACATCTTCACATCTTCCAACTTCAGACTTCAGAGCTCTATAAGAAAACTTCATGAGAGAACTGATGGGTATGCTTTTCTAAGTCTTTCCTTCAGTAAAGGAGCCAATGGGCCACCTCCAATTGGCCACTCGACACGACCTGTGGATCTCCATTGTCCACACCTCTTTGAAGGTCTATGACAAAAAGCTCTTGCTGACCTTTACTGGCGATTTTTCATCATGACACACCAAGTCGCCAGTAAGAAGGTCAGGTCAACAAAAAGAATCCTAGCCTATCGGCTTCCATCCTTTTTTCTTTGTGTAAGCAGAGTCTGATTCAAAGATGCCTTTTTTTGCCCACCATGATCTCCATCCCATTCCCACATGCGCTTGCTTCCGCCGCCTCGGTGGAGCTCCAGGGAGCTGCCTCGGTGGGACTCGGTGGAATGAGCAGTGGATCGCAGGCAGCCTTCGGTTTGAAGATGTTTAAAGCCCTCAGTTATGGTCAGTTATATGGTCAGTTGGAGTTGGATTTTGGAGTTCCTAAGAAAAACACGCGACCAGGTTTTTAGGACCATGTTAGGACCAGGTCTTACTGGGTACAGGTTCTGGACCTGTAGGGCAAGGAACCAGGGATTCGGTCGAGTTTTTGGGACGATCCATCGGAGATATACCGGCTATATACCTATATTATATTGCCCCCAATTGGGAATTGGAGGACCTGAACTTCACGCCCAAGATGAAGAACCATGAAGAACCTCTACCAACCCCTGTGGTCAATTGGTTTCCATTGGGCACCGGACTTGGAAACACAGGAGTCCTACCCGATCTTGGAGGGCGCTGGTACCCAGAACAGCACGGCAGGAGCTGGAACAGCACGTCAAGTCAGTCAAGAGCAGATCGAAAAAAAAAATATAAGCAGAATGGGAAGCAGTCCTCAACCCACATGAAGTTCTGGTACCTTAATTACTCGTCGGACCATCTTCCGATCTTGGAAGGTCCTTGTGCTGGAACCCATTTCCGTCCCTTGGCAGAAACACACCCTTTTTTCCCCCCAAACCAACTACGTGCATCGCTACGAGCATCGCTACGATGCACCGAGTCTACGTCTCCACGCCCGCACCGCCGGTCGTGCACGGCGCGCGAAGGTCGCGGAACCTCGCCTGTGCCAGGTTCGGATTGGTCCAAACGTTCCAATTCCCTGGCGGCATCTCCAGAGGTTCCTGGAGATGAAGCGGTTTGGTCGCTCGTACGCAGAGGCTTGTGCTCCAAGGGAATGATTGAGAATGAAAAAACGCATCAATTGCAATATCAAAGTTGGCTCTGATGGCAAAATGGTGCTGATCTCTATAAGGTCGGCTCGATGCCTTAGTCCAAGCCTTCCGAAGGAGAACCATGCACAGAATCGCTGAAACTCCAAATACCGCGATCATGGGCCATGGGTGTGATTTCAAAATATTCGAAAGAACGGCTGAGTACCCCAGTTCTCCAAACTGCTCCTGGAAGGCCTTCAACGCAGCTTTTCTGGAGACCTCCTCAACCTCCTCTTCCTCATCATCGTCCTGTTGGTGTCTCCAAACTCAAAGATCGCAGTGATTGACCTGGCCAACCCAGTCCAACTTGGGGTTCACCACTTCCCTCGCAAAATGGTAACCTCCTTGTTACTAGTAGTCATGGCCTCCAACCTACTGGCGATGGCCTCCAACCTAGAAGCCTTTGTTACTAGTATAGCTTCTATAGCCTATAGCTACTAGTAGTAAGGCACCTTGTTCCTAGCAGTAATGCCAGGAATGCCCCGTTCGTAGCGATGCGCTTGTGACGTTCCTAAGCCGAGAGCCATCCCATCCACGGAAGACCATGTGAGTTCCAAGGAGTTTATATGTAGTTTTTGTTCTTATTATTGTTTTTGTTTGTTCTTTGTTTTTCTTCTTCTTGTTCTTCTTGCATGCAAGAAAGCTAAGAGAGCTAGGTGGTATACTTTGTTCTTTGATGTATACCACATATATCTTTGTACATCTTTGTACATCTCTGATGCAAATCTTCCCATCTCGGGATTTCTTCGTGTGGGTCCGACGCTCGACACCGTTCCGACCCGTCGCTGAACAAACCGTTTCTACCGTACGAACCGGACGTACGTTTTACCGCTTTGTAGGACAAACCGGCGAAGTTGCATCCTCCATGTTTCAGGCATGAATGAAGAAAGCCTTTAAAATAGAGATCACACATCAATATACATCAATCACAATCAAACATCATGTTATATATGTTTTTCAGGTTGAAGACGCGTACTGGATCGGTCGGGTTCTTCGACTTTCGATTTTCGGCACTCCTCTTCTTCCTCTTCTCCTTCACCCTCTTCGTCTTCGGGCGCGTCATCCTCCTCTGCTTCATCCTGCACCACGCGGGTCCATGTGGGTGACCGTGGCTGTTGGATGAAGTCAAGCCAAACCAGCAGAAACCGCCTGTTGGATGACCCCAAGCAGACTCAGAGGCTAAGGCACAGAAAAAGTCCATTCTGGTTTGGGGGGGTCGGGGTGTGAGACAAAGTACCAAAATATGAAGCATGGGGGAAAAAAGAGCCAGACTCCATGAACTGGAATAGATGCCACCCCGACCCCATTGACCCTTTTTCAACCACAGACTGGCCAATCCCCGAGGTCAAAGGCCACTTAGAGACTGCAAAGTGATCACTTTGAAGGTGCAGGATGGTGCAGGTACATTGAAACCCTTGAAAAGCATCCCAATTGATCGGGACAGATGCAAGTCCCAGGGAGTAACATGGAGTTACGTGGAGTTCATGAACCTCTTTTTCTCGGTGCTTCTTCACTTGGGTGTGTCTCAAAGCAGCCTTGAACGACTGGCGCGCAGAGCTTGACGAACTGAGCTTGAACCGGCCAGACCACGTGAGACAGACCGTAGGTCGTAGGGTGATTGAGGGAATAATTTCAGATATTTAATATATATATATATATGCACGCACATACTTACTTATATAGTTGTTGCATGTTATTACAGATGTAGACAGGTTGATTTTGTGATCATGCAAATAACTATTCCCCCCTGGGGGCTTCAAGCATGAGAGACCTTCTCACATCTACGACTTAACCCAAGATATATGTTGTTATATATTACAGATATTATACTTAAAAGTGTTATAGTAATAGTACTTGTAATATATTACATGTTTTTTCACAAAAATCCTTCCAACCTGTTTGTGTGCTCCTTTCAGTGGCTTCGGCTTACGCACCGCACGGTCCTCCTCTGGGACGGCGGCCGCCTGACAGGAGAGAGGTGGATAGGCTTCCGAGCACCATTGATTTAGTAATATGATTTAATAGCCTGAATCCTGAGCAACCATGGTTTTGCTGTTTTAAGGATTACACTACACCACCAGGTCAACTTTTTAAAAGGTCTTCGAAGCCTAGGGATTTAGAGGTCCAAAGAAGAGATGTGTCCTAAGTGAAGCAAAGGAAGTTCCCTCTCAGGCCTCCTAAAGCCTAGACTATTCTTTTGATAGTCCTTGACTTTCAGGGAGCTTTGAATCACTCAGACAAAAGGGCGGATAGCTTGCGATCATGGGTCAAACTCAATGTCGTGATAAAGACCCACATGAAACCTGAGAATGGACCAGACTGGAAGACGATTTTGGTTCCATGCTGATCTTCCCTGGTGTACTCCCCCAGGTCTCCCAGGTTCTTTCACCCCTAAGAGTTTTCTGACTTCACGGAAAGGTGTTCCAAGCCAGATCCAGTCAGCAAAGGAAAACCTGGCTAAGGACGAGTGGTTGATGTGGGTGGTTGATTGGTGCCGAATATACTGTTCACCTTCACCTCACCTTTTTGTTGCCCGGTGGTGACAAGATCCCACATTGAGACCATTGCCATATCCCAAACGCATGTTTTCAGGAGTCATAGGCATATACAGTAGTCAGATCTCTGACTTTGGCACAATATGGCATAATGAAGAGACTCGACAAAATGCCAAAGCGTCATCATCCAACAGAGAAGGCAACATCAACTTCAACGACCCCTCTTCCTTCGGTGGAATGGTGCCCGGCACGCGACTCGTTGACCCAACGGAATTGAATTGGAAGATGACTTTGGCAAACTTTGGGGGATCTGAAGCTGTGGGACCACTAGTTGGGCCAATAGGACACATAGGACATGTGTATATCATAGTATATCTGACGTTTTGCAGAAAATGGTTAATTTTCGATCCGCGACCATCATTGAAAGGAGCTGTACAGCGTTGCCTCAGTTGCCTCATCTTCATCTTCACCTTGACCTTCTCCTGCTTCTCCTCCGTCCTCTTCTCCGTCATTCTCAGCCTCCTACGGAGTGAGGGCAGAGAAGGCGATGGTCCCGTCCGATCGCCGGTTCTGCGAATGGATCAGTCGGTCAGTTTCCCCCCTGTTCTTCGACCTCGCTGTGAAAATGTGAGTTCCTGGTAGTTCCTCGCAGTAGTTCATCCACTACCTTGCTAAGTTGTAGCAAGCTGAGTTCAAAGATCTTCTTGACCAGAACCAAGTTCTTGGACTTCGCAACCTCTTTGTTCCTCCATCGTTCCGAATCGATCGCAAAAGGGACCGGAAAACACCACAGATGCGTTGACTCTATACAACTATGATATAAAACTTGATAGATCTTGATAGACTATGTACCAGAGCCCCTGGTTGACAGTCTCCATTCGCAGCCCAGCCTTAGAGGTGAAGGATGGTGAAGGGTGTGCGACAACCAACCCTGTAATTCCGGGTATTGGACCCGTCCCAGCGGGCACGGACGGCTCGGCAAAAGCGGACCTCCGCGTCGTCGCTCACCTCCACGGCCTTGAAAGGGTGAGAACATCGGTGATGAGGAAACAAGGCTTTCTGGTGTATGCTTGGTGTCCCAGACTGTCCAAGTCCCAAGTTGTTTTTCCCCAAACAGTTTACTGTTGGGGTTCTATCTTAGAAAGAAAAGGGCTGGCCACACTCACTGGCCGCGCCCCTGAACTCTGTGGCTGGGCTCCGTGGCTGGGCTCTGTGGCTGGGCCTTGTCCTCCTCTTGTCCTCCTCC